TCCGAGTGCACATGGATAACCAACCATTCCGGCTCAGCATGTCGATCAGCCGCATGGCCAAAGAGCAGACCACTGCCATATACAGGGTGCTCGCGTGACAAGAGCAGCTTTTCAGCTGGGTAAAGCAGTGTTTGCGATGCCAGCACCAGTCGAAGTCCGGGCATGGCCGAGATGGTGTTCAACCAGACAAACCGGCAGGGCGCCATTCCACAAAGGGTGCGGTTCCATGGCAGCCAGGAAGTGAGCGTTGGAGGCTTGCACATCGGCGCTATCTGCCGGGAAGGAACCCTCGACGCTGACGCCCGTCGAGATATGCAAAGTACAGACACCATGCAGCAGGGCTGCAAGTGCTCGGGAATGCCATGCATGTTGACTGGGCACGCCAGAACAGTGAGGTCAGTGGCTCTGCTGCGTGCAACGTTTGCTCGCGTATAACATTCGTTGTCGAAGTCTGGTTGACGACCACCACTACTCAAGAAGGTGGATCTTCCATGCAGGATAATGCAGTGTTTAGCTGTGGCACCTGCAACCTTAACCGCGGTTTCTGCATTTGCTTGCTTTCTGGACTGCTGGAAATAACTTTGAAGATTCTGTGCACTGACTCGTCGAGTGGTAAGGACCAGGACATTGTCTCTCTGCTCACCTTCATTGGGGAGCCAGCTCTCTGAACACCTGTTGGCCGCAACAGTGGGCCCCGGCGGTCCGCAAGGGCATCATCCCTGTGGTCATGGTGTGCCCAGTTGACGAAGTGCAGTCCAGTAGCAGCCGCACTATTTTCTCGGATCGAGGCAGTGCCAATATGCCATTGGCCGTTCTTTGGCCCGCACAGCATCGGGTATTGAATGCCAATGAGTGGCTCATGCACCTCTGTGCAACGCGAGCACTGGTAGGGAGCATTACGCTCCATTGGTGCACACAAAAAACTCCTGACCGGGCTGCGGCGCTGGTGGCTTGATGAAAGTGAGAGTGCCCTGGTCGTGTGATGGCACACCCCAATCCTGCTGAAAGCCCCTCCGGAACATCAACGTTCACATGGCGGACGTCTTTGTGGGCCGCCTGCAGGCTTGCCCCCAAGGACGCAGAGCTGCGTCGGCCATGCTAGTCGCTACGCAGGGCAAGCTGCTGATGTCGCGAACAAAGCAAAAGAATGCCAGTTTGAGGCTCTGCATAAAATCTATTTTTATGACGCATGGCGTGGCCAACCAGAGCTAGGAACAAAGGGCTTCTCCCTCCACCTTCCTCCTCGCCCAGGGCTGCTCGAAGCTGGCTGCTACTGGCGGCAAACTCATGCAGCCGACGCTGCCAGCGCCAACACGCCCAACCCCAAGGGTGCCGAAGGTGTCCTAGCCGAAATCAGCTTGACCGATGAGGACTCGGAGGACAAAGCTGGCAGCACACAGCCGAGTCTAATCCCATCGCCAGAGAGCACAGACCAGGAGTTAGATGCCCCGATTTTTGTTAGCAGCGCGGATGAGCAGCAAGCCAGCTCCCCCACAGAGGAAACAGAGCAATCACATGCTGACTCCAAGGTTGTTTCCGTGGCCTTGGAGAGCGAGGAAGAGCCGGCTGAGGAAGAAGAAGAAGAGGAAGCAGAAGACGAAGAAACTGTAGAAGAAGAAGAAGAAGAAGAGGAAGATATGGGAGAGGACGTGATTCCAGTGGAACCCGATCCTGTGGCCTTAGCAGAGAGTGAAGCTGTCACCAAAGAAGCATCGGCATCCATCGATAAGGTCAGCGCCGGTGACGACCCAGCACCCGGCACACCGCATGTGCACCATGAAATACGCGAGGGCAAGGCATCGATGTCCCGGACAGGGCCTGCCAGTCCTGTTGGCAGCCCTGCGCACAACTCTGACCAGCCCAGCTCTAGCAAGGCATGGGAAGGCGGTTGCCGTAGTAACCGTCCTTCTGATGCCCTCGTCCCTGACCCTAGCCGTGCACTGCCTGCTGTGGTAAGAGGGCGGCGTCGATGGAAGCACCTGTTTTTGTGTTGTGGTGGGTTGCGTGTTGCGTTCCTGTGTTTTTGTGGTTTGTTTTTCCTTTCAATGTTGTTGCCTTTAATACTCAGGAAATCTTAATTTCTACAACCGCTGACCTTCGCATTCCTGCGATAACGGCAGCCCCACGCGTGCGAAACATGGTATTTTGTCGCCTTGCACTGGTGATGATGATGATGATGATGATGATGATGTTGATGATGACATCGCGTAATTCCCATTGCCGCGCACATGCACGGTCAACATTCCAGAGGGAGCGACGAGAACCCCAAAGTCGATTTTTCATGCAAACACGGGCAGCTTCTTCGGCCAGTTCATTCCAGCGACGCATTTGGACCTCGGTACAAAGCGGATGCACTTTGAAAAGGGAGAGTTTGCCATGAGATGGCCCCCAACGGAAATCAATACGAACATGGAAATGCGACATTACTGGGAGAAAAGCCACGGCCCTGGCGGCCAAGCCATATGGGCATTTGAAACAATTTTTAATGCTGATTCACAGTCCGAAAGAATGAGCACGGTCTTATTAGTAGGCGAAACATTTTCACCTTGCACTGGGATGAACTCAGTGTAGAACAAATCCTGGACGTGGATGAATTGCTGAGGAAATCAGCCTTCAGCTGTCGTGAAGTCCCAGCATGTCAGCTCTCCAACATCAATGGGACGGAACAATCGGCACGCAATTTCCCACGTGCCCACGGCGGCAACTGTGGGCATCGAAGATTGACGAGCGAGGTGCCAAGCCATCCAGTCATGGTGTTGCTTTCAACCTCCAGGCATGCTTCAGAGACTTGCCTCCTGGCTGTTTCAGTACAAGTCTTTCCTGCGCATTGAGTGCCCTTCTTTCTTCCAGACATTGTCTCCGCTCTTTTTGACGGAAGTCAGAAAGCACGGTTCCATCCTTGAGTTCGCTTGCGTCCACTTGTTTTGGCTTGTTTCCCACTTACTTGCACAAGGCGCATTCGGTGGACCCTCCAGGTGTCCATTCTTCTCCATGTCTTCTTGCATCAAATCAAATGAACACACTTCAACGAGAGCGAAACACAGACTTCTCCAGAAATTCATTCGTGTGGTTCCACCCCGAACATGCATCGCTTTGACCCTCAATAACAAACATAGAAAACTTTTCCAAAGCTTCTTTTTTGATTCGAAACAACTCTTTCAATGCTCATGTTTGTGATGTTTTTTTGCACTCGTGGGGCTGCCGTCATCGCAAGAATGCGAAGGTCAACTCCTCGTGTTTGTGATGCAATGTTGTTTGGGGCAAGTCCAGGATGTTTTGTCTTGGAGAAGCTGCAAGATGTGATCTGAAGCTGTCCAGGATGGATGGGAACATCGAATGCTGCAGTTGGTTCGACAGGCAGGTGAAGTTCAGGGCTCCAAAACGCTGAATTCTCAGACGAGACACCGTGATGCTCTTGATGATAGTGTCCATCCACTTTTCGTGCCAAGGAGGTGAAGGAGAAAACATGAGAGGGCAAGATCCCCATTCAGCTTCAACCCCAAGTGCTGGGTGCTGGGTGTGAAAGCCTTGCTTTTTGGGGCCAGTGATGAGACAGACAGGCTTGAAGTCAACACAGTGAGACTTCAATGTCTGGTTCTCTGAGTGATCCTTGGTTGTTGAATTGTTTGATTGTGTTTGGTGTATTTCAACTTGTTTTGAGCTGTTCTGTTGGATTCGTGACATTTGATGGACCTCTTGAGTTTTTTTGCACGGGTGGAGCCGCCATTCATGCAGGAAATGCAAAGCTCAGCTGTTTTTGAAAGAGTCTCCAGATGTACATGCTTTGCTCTGCAGGAGGGAAGCAGAGCGAAACAACATGCGTTCGCGATGTCGATAATGTGCAGGTCACGGGCCAGCATATCCGGCATCGCCAACGTTTGGTCCAACTTTATCTATCTTCCAAAAAGCACTGTAAAGCAGCACATTTTTAGGGTAACAATGCACACGCCGAAAGCTAAAACTTGGGATTTGATTTAGCAGATTCCTTGCAGTTGCTGTTGATGCGAGCCTTTACAACGCGCCGACCGGCACTTTCGGCGCGGGCGGATTTACAGCTTGTCCTTCCTGCCAGGCACCGGGCCTTGAAGCCCAGTAGGTGTTTGCGAAAAAAATTGAAACAGCCACCAAGATGTTGAAAACTAGAGCCCAACTTTCGGTCATCTTTCGTGTGATCTGTTCGGTGTGCTTGCATCTTTATCGCTTGATTTTTTCGCACCTTGTTGACATTGACCCTTCCACCGTTTTCAGGCCGTGCGCGACCTAAGAGAGGAAAAAAGGAGGACAAAGGGCACACGCAGCGAAGATTGAGAAGGAAGAAATGGAAGAACAAAGGGACAAGGTGAGGCTACAGAGGCCAATCCGTCGATGCAGGGCCTGTTACAGGAGGTCAACAATATATGTTGAAGAACCTGCAGTCGTCCCGTTTGTCAAAAACCTCATCACTTCGATGCCTCAAGAACAAGAGAGGAAACAGGTCATGGATTTACTTCAACTGTTTAACTTGGTGATGCAAAAAATCTTTCACCCCAACAGACTTCAAAAAGGTAAAAAGGAAGGATTGTTTGATACCGGGGCAAAACATTCAAATCGACCAATACAAACGAGTTCAAGTTGCATTGGCCGATGGGCAGTCCACCACCTTGGCCATAAGCCCAAGTGAAGCAATGATTTCAGACAAAGACATCGAGCCGATCCTGCGGAGGTTTCTTACACATGGCAACCTGAACCGAAGCTCCCTCAAACGGCTGAATTCGAGACATGAACCGAACCCCAACGCGAACCGAACAGTTCCCTTTGACATCCACACACTGCGATTATGGTCATCCACAGGAATCCACTGAATGGGAGCCACCAGTGCATCTGGCTAACTTAGATTGTTGCAGGCGACGAGGACACAGTCTTTTGTTTTTTCGACCAAAATGTCGCCGTTTTCCTTGGTTCAGATTGTTGAACATCATTTTGACTCGGTGTCGTGTTTGGTGGTGTGAACATGGAGATGTTTCCCCGTTTTAGTTTCTTACGGCGCATTCGCTTTCTGGGGCCTTTGTATGGTCAAATGTTTGAGCCGAGCAACTCTTCAAAGTCACAACACTTGTCTACTATGCATCTTGGAACCCAAAGCAGCGCACCTCAATTTAACATGCAGCCATCGAAACGTGTGCATGAAAAGGCCCCTGCCACCGACATGGAACACTCCAAAGTTTTAAATCTAAGTTTTCAAGGCAGAAGACAGAACGTTCGAGACAAGTGGACCATGGAATGTTTCGACTGCTCAACTGCTCTGACTGTGCCCTACTCACCGGCACTGAGGAGCTAGCTACCACCCATCATGGTAGACCATCACGATGGTGTTGCATGTGATCGTGTGGGTGTTGGCCAACATCCGTGGTTTGTTCTATTGGGCATGTGCAGCGCGGGTTGACCCGGCCCCACATGGAAGCAGCATTGTCACGTGCAATGGCACGTTGATGGGACTGCAAGTAGAATGAGGTAATTTATGGCTTTCAGAAAGTCACGATTTGGCTGCGGGTCAGAACCATTTAAAGCCACATAGCCCTGCAGAGTCCTACCCCTTTTGGATTCAGCTGCTCAAACATAGAACCAACGCACAAAGACCTGGACCAATTCGGTCCTTGTACTTGCTTACAAGCCCGCACCTGAGTGCAACGAAGCAGTTCAGATGGACCAGATACAGGACATTTTCTTCTAAGGCCAATGTCGGCCAAAAAAAAAGTGCTGCTCAAAGTGATCATCCTCGGCGATAGTGGGTCAAGTTGGCTTTTGTCGACTTGCAATTTTAACTTTTCTCCTGGCAATTCAACATGAACATTGGAGGAACTTCAGCGTTTGCAACCAACATAAAACTTCATGGCAGGGTGGGCAAGACATCGTTGATGAATCAATATGTCAACAAAAAGTTCACCAACCAGTACAAGGTCAGTGTTCGCTGTGGTTCATTTTGCTTTCTCAGTTTTTCCCGGGGTAAATGAGGAAGTGGGGAAGTCTCTGGAAAGGCGACCATCGGCGCTGACTTTTTGACCAAAGAAGTCATGATTGATGACAAGCTGGTGACCATGCAGGCCGGCTTCGCAACATCGCCAAGGCAGTTAAAAGATGTTAAACATGCATAGTCATGGTTAGTGTGTTGTGCGGAAGATGGTCTAAGAACCAAAGGACTACAATGCTGCAAAAAGAAAACTAGTTTTCACTGAAAACTGGAGAATGTATTGCCTGATATCGACTCGAACGATTCTCTCACAGAGCTGCCGACAGATTTGGGATACTGCTGGACAAGAGCGGTTTCAATCCCTTGGCATTGAACTCAGGGATTCCTATTGGGTTGGACTTTGCAGCGACAGAGTGTATGTTTCACATGCTTTGGCTGGAATTCATGCACTGAGTCACTGAGGTGTTGCATTTTACCGAGGGGCTGACTGCTGTGTCCTAGTGCATGATTTGACTGCTGGCCACTCAGGAAAAACCCTGAGAGATATGGAAGAACGTTGGGTGTTGAGATGTTGAGCACTTTTTCGCTTCATACAATTTGTTGTTAGTAGCCATCGCCAGTAGGTTGGAGGTCATCGCTAATAGGTTGGAGGCCATCGCTATTTGGTTGGAGGCCATCGCTAGTAGGCTGGATTCTCTATGAACGAAAAAGTGGTAGTAGCACTGCACTCTATTTTTTTAAATGTTGTAGCCGATCATTCAGGTGCCAAAGACCTTCGAATCTTTAGAGGTTTGGCGTGATGAGTTTCTCATCCAGGCCGCATGCAATTGTCCGATGATCTAGCCGTAAATCAAAGCCAATTGGCGAGTTTGCGAATTCAGGACTGTTCATGATTTCTACATGGAGCAACGACAACAGAAACTTCTCCCTTCTGATGATAAACGGGTGTGGCATGTGTTTGTTTTGTTTGAGGTAGCGTCCAGGACAAAAAGAACATGTTTGTCAACCTGCTCCTGCCTCTCTTTTTTTGGCCTTATTTGTACTGTATTCTTTTTTTGTAAACGTTTTTTGGTGTTCAGTGTTGGCCAACGATTCTGGGGTGGATTGGGCACCGACGTGGGCAGACGGAACTGGGAGGTTTCAGCCGGGCAGTCGGAAGGCTTTCGGGTCGAGCTCCAGGGCAGTTCCACGTATGGTTCCACAGAGCTTTCAGTAGGGTTCTAAGTCCTGAGCCATCTTTTTAGTTTGTAGGGTTTGCAGTAGCTTTCAAGCTGGTTTCAGGTCCGACTGGTGATATTCAGGCAGGTTTCAAGTTTCCAATAAAGATTCCAGCGAGTTGGAGTCCATTTCCCCTTCAACCAGCGATTTCTGGGTGTGTCTCCTTGTGTTTTTAGAGACAGTGATACTCTGATACTCAATGTTTTGCCTCTCTAGCTATGAATATCGAGAAAAACCATGCATTGCCAGGCAAGTCCTCGCCACCTGTCTGCACATTTGACTTTGGTTTTATTGGAGTGTCTCAATTGCTAAAGTGTCTTTACTTTGTTTGTCCTTTTGCCGGCTTCCTTTGTTTCTCTGAGGTGATCCTGACAATTTTCCCTTTGTTGTGCTTGGCAACAAGGCCGGCAACTTTTTGGGTGGATTTGAATGATTCGAGCTGTTTAGAATGAGACGAAGCCTTTCTCGCAATTTGTAACTTGCAACAAGTTCAATTCACGTGTGAACTGTGTTTAAGTGACTCTCTAGCGGTCTGGCGGTTATGTGACCTTTTTCTTGCAATTCTTGCTGACAGGCGGATCTCGAGAGCAAACGCAAGGCGATCACAGCTTGATTGCATGCTTGCATAAGTTCTGAGTTGATTGAGATGGTGTGACTTGGGAAAGGTTACAGCAGCTCGGGCCACACAGTGGTGCAAGTCAAAAAACAGCATACCGTGCGCGATCAGCTGCAGTCATGTTGGTGCTCGAAGTCATGGGAGTTTTACAGCTGCATTATATAGGTCTGTAGAGACAGACACTTTGATTTTGCGAAGTCGCGCTGCTTGTATACAATTTGTTCTTCACACGTGTGTTTGCAGCTAGGCTAGGTAGCTTAGGTAGCTTAGGTAGGTGTGAGTCTGGCGGTTTCCAGGTACCACGAGACCAGCGCAGCCACTGCACAGAATGTGGAGGCTGGCCGACGGCCGAATTGGGAAAGATCATGGAAAGCAGAGCAGACCGACCTTCAGAATAGAAGATCACAGAGCAACCCTTGTTCAAATTGTTTTCATGCCATCAACGCTGAATATTTGGTGGGTCATCTCTGTGTATACAAGGCAACAAAGCACTGTTGTAACGCCTCAATCTTTCGAGCAGACAACTTTGCCTGCAAAGGGCTGTCGATTTTCTGCGCTCCCCTGCTCCAAGGTCGCCTTTCAGGAGATCGCCCGCCGGGCGTTAAAGCAGGAGCACACTGAGGATCCGATGTACCGCTGGCAGCTTAAGACAAAAATGCGATTGGTTTCAGCGAAAAGAGCTCCGAGTTGAACCCGTCCAACTTGGCCAGATACCTTCCAGAGACCTTGACTCTGAATGCCAATCAGCAGAACTTCTCCAACAACAGACCCATGGGGTGCATTGTGGCATGTTTATTTGGATTGTGCCACAGTCTGGTGGTTGGGTGAGTGCTACCTTCTCAAACAAGCGCTATTTGGGCGGGCCTAGTTTTGAATCTAGTACATTAAGAGTCTAGGCTTCAGCGGCCTCAGTAGAGTATTTTTAGATTTTCAGATAGGATTGATGGATCAAGACGGGGGACACGTGGCTGTTGAGACTTGGCAGGCCAGACTGCGCCTGCTGACGTCTCACAAGACTGGCTTTTCAGGGCTGAAAGGAGTTGACTTGCACAAAAGGGACATGGGACAGAAGCAACCAGTGTACCGAGGGTCCGAGAGTACAATTTTTGTGGGATGGAAATGACCAGCATGAGTCTGGATTGTGGTCGTCAAGGAGACAAGCTTCTAGGTCAAACATTGGTCAAGCCACGACGTAATATCATATGGAGTGCTGCAAGAGCACGAAGGTAAATTCTTGTTTTGCAGCTTAGACGTTGACACGATCTCCTTGAAAAGCTTGCGCAATTCAATCAAGGTCTCTTTCGGCCGGCAAATCCTGCTTAATTGACCCTCAACAGGCAGTCATTGCAGGACATCCCGGGTCATGTTGGTGGAATCCCTGCACAAACTTAGATGGCTCACTTGATCAAGCTTCTTTATGCTCCGCCATCCAACCTTAGTAGCAGTTAAGTTGGTAGGTCACCGCAAACTCAAGCAGTTTTTTCAGAAGAATGAAGACTACCAAACCAATGTAACGGGTTCAATTCTGCGCGCTCTCTCTCTCTCTATATACATATAACTGCAGCAGCTGCACAGCATGCTGAAATGGAATTGTTGATACTGTAGTTTCGCATAGAAACTTTTCAACATTGCATCCCGTGAATGCCAGCGCTGCGAAATCCAGGAACATTGGCGGAACTGCTAGAGTGTTTGGAAGTCCTGTACTGTGTGCAGCTTCGTGGTTGATGAGTTGCAGCTGCTAACTGGCTGCAATGCCTTGCCTACGTTCTTAAAGACATATCGCACTTGCCAGTTTCAGGGTGTTTTATATATTGATGTTTGAGTGGCATTGTGCCTTGCTTGAGCTGCTTGCTTTATGCTTTGACATTTGCCAGTTCATCAAGTGTCAGCAAGTATATACATCGATTGCCATATGAAGCGAGGTTTTATCAAAAGAGTTTGATGAGTCTTGTTGGTAAGCCAGGTGATTCCACATTGCCTGTGGGGTCTTTGACATGATCCCTGTTGAATTTTCCACTGGCGGTGTTCGATTCTACTAGACTTGGGTTTTCACGCCCAGACTTTCCCAAAAGATCACCACGATCTCCAAGGTCTCCAGGTTTGACCCACCTTTCTTTGCAGCTTGGAATAGTAGCTGTGTGACACCGTCACCAGACAAGACCAAGGACAGCACGTTGCGACCTTGGGCTGGGGGTGGGGCCCAGGATTTAGCACCAAAACATTGAAGAACCCAGTTTGGGCATGGCCGCATGGCGTATCCTGGAAAGAAAAAGGAGACTGGTCAAGTCAGGTACAGTATATATATATGGTGTTTTTAGTTGTTTAGTGTGGTCATTCACACCTTAGCTGGCCTGTTTTCCATGCATTATATAAATCATTAATTCGGGTTTGTCTCAAGATATGACAGGGAGACCACTCAAGGATCCTTCGGTTGGACACAATCGTGCAGTATGTATAGCTGTTGTGGGCCTACCTCCCTCTTGCGTGCAGTGCCCACGGTGAGCCCTTGGTCAAATCAGAGACATCCTGTTAGTCAGGATTGTTAGGAAGCATTTGCAGATGCATTGAGGCATTGAGGAATTGTTTCACCTGAGAGAGGAAGAGAACGAGTGATCAGTTGGCAGTTCTGGATCCCGACATGACATGTATTCCTAGCATATTGAGCGCCAACTGGTTCTCTCATTTTGCGGACGAAAAGGTCCTTATGGCATTGAGCAACTCTTGTAGATTGTAGATGTGGGGAGTCAGTGACTGAGCTTGGCAAGACTTAGGACCTAGGACATACATGGCCAGCAAAGGGGACTAGGTGTGACATGTTTGTTTGGCTTAGAGAGTTTCGGCTTTGAATCAAACAAAAAGATCTCATGGGGTGCAACTCCAGCACAGCGAAGTCTCAGGTGGTGTCCTCAGAGAAGTCTTTCTCGTGAAATCTCAGAGAATGGCAGCGACTGAGGCTGGCAAGACCTTGCTGAACAGCAGCAATCCTAGCAAGGCCAAACTGATCAACATTTCCAGTGCCTTTGGTCGAACAAGCCACAAAACACGGTTGGTCTGTTATCAAACTCTCGCAGTACCTTGTCACATGCTTCTCCATGGATCAAGCTTGAGCCAGGGCAGACATGAAGGGAGCTTGACTCAGCAATGATGTTATATATTCATTTTGCGCACGATTGGACACAGTGACACTGGAGCAGTTTTTGCTTGTTTGGTTGAGGACTCGACACGAGGAGCTGAGGGATTGTGGCACATCACGCTGATTCAAACACAAATTCTACTGGAAGATCGTAGCCAGCGGTGAAAACCACTGACCCGGGTCTGAGCTCAAGGTCCAAAGGGTGCAGTTTTGTTGAGTCATGTGGCTAGGACAAGCCCATCGCGAAAGTGACATCCGAAGCCCAAGTGGTGCACTATACACCCACGGAGGACACTGGTGCGGACAGTACACAGACAGCGCTTCCCAGGAAAGGCTATTTATTCTCAGTGTGTTTCATGGCTGAAACATATGGCAGAGGATCACACTTGACAGCCAGCCAGTTGATATCTAATTGTCGCGTTGATAGTGGAACCATATGATGGGTAAATCCTACTGTGGCCGAGAGCCATGATCCTGGAGGGAGCCGTTACCTTTATTCTAGTGGGGATCATGGGCATGAAAAGAAAACGTCGTAGGAAAAACCACGCAGAAGTGGGAGAAATGATCCCCTTTTCTTTTGGCATGATCTCCACGATGTTTTCGTTCTTGGGGATCAATGTGAAAACATCGTAGGAGTTTAAGCTTTAGCTTTTGGGCGCCACCAGTACTTCAGTGCCTAGAACTTAAACCTGCTCGACGGGAATCCAAGTGAAGAGTGGCTTTGAGTCAAAGCACACTTGCAGGAAGACGAGGAAGATGAAGAGGAGGAGGAAGAGAAGTGCGCCCAGCTGGAGCTGAGACGGAGAAAGATTTGTGGAGCGACCCCTTCTGTGGCCATCGACATGTTGATGATCAATCTGTTCAGGCCAAGGGCATCAAGAACAAAACAGCGGAAGGCTGGTCTTCTTTCAGAGTGACTTCCCTTCCAATTCTTCCATTTCGCACAGGTCACGCCCTGGCATGTGGCGGCAGCTGGGCTGCCCAGTATTTATTGGCGGAGAAGCCATAGACGGACCCACTGTAGCTAGCCAAAGAGGCAATGACAAAACTCCCTGAATTTGCTCAGTGCTTCCAGTTTATCACTTGCCTTTTTGCATATTGCGACGAGGCCACCATGGATGATGATGAGGATGAAGATGAAGCGGAGGAGATCCAGACTTCCGAGCCACTCCAGTCGGGAGCCCAGAGTAGACACACCATTTGACCTGTTGGGGGTCACCAAGAATCCATGAGAATCGAAAGAAACCCTGCCCATGTGAATTGACCACATTGGACCGTCCCAGGCGTAAAGTCAAACGCAAGGCCGGGGATCGGGCCGCCAGCGGGCCGCCAGCGGGCCGCCAGAGGGACTGACTTGCACGTGAGGGAAGGGATGGTGACCCGGTGCCTTTGTTCGCTGTCACGGGTATGACAACTGTAAAACATATATAATATTGTGAAGAATTTGTAGGCAGCTCATAGGTGTGACTGTAAAGTATTGCTATCACTTTCTCACCATCCCGCAGCCCTTTGAGTATCAAGAAAAAGTTCGCATGGTAGTGGATCAAGGATAAGGGAATCCCTCCTTTGAGCTTCAGAGAAAAGCCCCTAGGTCACTGGGATCCCGGGAGTAGATTTGGGGCCTTTGGAACCCAAACTGCTGAACTGGTGACAAACTTTTGTGAGTTGCACTCTGTCCCCCGTACATTTTGTCAGAAGGACAATATTGTTCGGAAACGATGGAAGAGATAAGACAAATCATTGAAGTCGTAGCAAGGAGCACGCAAGCAACAGCATCAGCAGCAGACGCAGTAAAGAAAGCAGGTGAAGACAAGAAGACGACAACAACAACTGATTGGTCGAAGCTGATCACAAAGCCCAACTAATTCGATTACAAGCCACAAGAAGAAAGTGTCAAAGCGTTCAGAGAGTGGTCATGGGCACTTGAGAAGTATCGAAGCTCAGTGGATGAGGCTTACATGAAGGACTTGAAAGGGGTTCATGACAAGCCAAATTACAACTTTGACATGGACCAACTGGAGAAGAGGAAGCCAGGTGCATCAAGCTCTATGGATTGTTAGCTTCGTTGATGAGGGGCAGGGCACTGCAATTGGGTGAAGCTGTGGAAGGCCCCAGTGGATTTGATGCCTGGAGGAGTTTGAACAAAGCTTTGAAACCTACTTCGAAGGGTAGAGGACTTAGCGCTTTTGGGAGAAGCCACTACGTGGCCAGCATTTTCGATGAACAGTGCTTTACAACCTCAGCTTCTTAAGCTTGAAGAGGTATCTGATGAGATGGTCAATTCAGGGACAGCCTTTCAGGAAGAGTTGCAGTATGCTATTCTTTCGAGATGTGTAGGTGGACAGCTCAATTCCTACATGAATTTGACGATTGGCGACAATGTTCAACACTCAACTTTGAGGGAACAGGTGTTGCTATGGGATCGTTCCCAGCAGAAGGGGAGTCGTATCCCCACCTGCAGTGCGAAAAGTGTTGAGACCTCCTTGCGTGACATTGATGTTCTTCTCAAAGCCGGCGGAAGGAGAGGTACCCATAGGTGACAGGCGCGGATCAGGAAAGTGTACTTGACCTTGAAGTTCAGCGCCAAGTTGTTCAGGACCCGCGGTAGGAATGCGCGTCATCCCGAGAGTGGAGGCCGGTGTTGACTGCCTGATTGACGGAGAGCAGATTCGAGGCCGCGTAGTTGGGTAAAAATATGAGGCGAGGAAATTTGTTCGAGGAAAACAGGAGAGGTGATGGTGAAGCGGAAGTGTAGGAGGGCCAGGGTCATTGTCAAGATCCCATGTACATGAAGGAGTTCACGATGAAGTATCGATTCCTTCAACAGAAGAGAGGCCGGCGGGGAGGGCGGCGTGGCTCCAAAAGGTACCGGAGGAGTGCGACTGACCTCAATAGACCAAAAAGATCTGTGACCGTTGTGGTCTACTCGCTACCAAACTGGCTGGCTACTGACGTCCGCTGTGGACACGTTCTGGCACACCCGAAGGCGGCCTACTCGTTTTCAAAGGTTCAATGATGAATCATCTCATACTTTACTATGGAAGACTGATGGAACATGGTTGGGGAATCAATGGTCGAGAGCAAACATTGGGGGATGGTGACTTGAACGTACCACTCAATTTTCAAAATCGCTCGTGGCAGTGCTTGGCTGTATTAGAGCCATTCAAGATGAACATGAAAGCTGCTTGGAGGGGCTAATGCTTGAAGCTTTGGAAGAAGGAGCAGGTTGGAAGTTCATTGAACATGGCTTGCTCGTTGGAAGCTTATTGACTTCAAAGTTTGTTGATCCCATGTTCAATCCAGAGGTGGAAGTTTCACCAGAGCGGATGAGAACCACTTTGGTGAAAAGAGGAGGTAGATGGCTTACGCCTGAATATTGTGAAAGTGTGACTGAAAAGGAGGAACTTGATGAGCAATTCTTTGATGGCGACGCAGCCATTCCTTCAATCACAATCTTCAGCTATGAGCCAGCGCCGCGAGAAGATATGGGATTCTTTGCACCAGGGTACAAGAGGAGGCGATCGAAGAGATTACCCCTACTCCACCGGAGAAGGAGGTAGAAGATAGGAAAGAAGAGGAGAAGAAAGAAGAAGACTTAGAATGTGAGTTGCAATTGAGCCTAATGGACGTAGGCAAAGCTCTGGTAAATGGAGTAGGATTGACCAAGGGTTCTACTTAAGCAACATGGAGGGCGGCGTGCTGATACTTCGGCGTCTCAGGTAGCGGCTCTAAGTTGAAGGTCTACGCGAAGGTTCTCAACCACAACAAGGAAAGAGTTGATTCTCAGGCAGACGTTAGGGTATTCAGCAATCGCCTGTAGGAGTGACAACAAACCCACAACGAGACAGATCCTAAAAATGCTGATGAGTGCTCGTCACAGTTTAGGACTTACTACAAGGTTGAACCCTTCAAAATTGGGAGTCCATTCATTTCTGTCAGAAAATACAGTTGACAGGGTGAGGAAGCTTGCAGGAAGTCCCGTTGAAGGCTTGCAGTCGAAGCTTGGCATCAAGATAGGACTTGGGCAGCAAGACATGCCAGTTGGGTGTTGAATCGATTTCAACCAGTCAAAGGTGCCACTCCATATGAGCTCGTCTATACGGCAAGAGTTACAAAGGACTTGTGGCTGAGTATGGTGAACCAGTTCA